TTTCTTTTATAACTATCCAGTATTTGAATATTCTGAATTGAGTAGGGTTCCTGTCTATAGTTTTTCCATTAAAACCTCAAAATGTTGAATAGCAAAATTATTACTAAATCTGATGCTCCTCTGGATTTCAACAAGTTATTAAATACATCTCCAATGTATTATTCAACCAGTAAGCATTTTATCAAAACTTCATCCCATTACAAAAAGGTGACTGAAAAATTAATAAAACAATACGAAAATAATGGTTTTTGGTTTACTGTCTGTTCCCCTATTTACTTTCAATGAATTAAGACCAAACACATCATGCTAACAGCCAAGACTAGGATCAATTATTATTTACTATTTTTTTCAGCTGCATCAGATCTTTTTAAATTTTAATTCTTACTGAATATAATGTAATCTCATTAATCTTTCAAGACCTAGAATACTGACACATCCTAAAGGTATTCAAATGAATTATTCGATATTCATTTTAAACCCAAGTAGACTATTTCAAGTTTACTTTTGTTCTTTTCATAATCAATGTTTAAAAGAAATGGAAACTAAGCTCATTAAAACTGCAAGTATTTTGTTCACAATGTACTTTTCATTGTTCCTTTAAAAAGGCAACTTTTAACGAATAATGAATTGTATAATCAAGACAATATAGTTTCCTGGAAACTCAAGTCTTGGAGTTTTTAATTCTAGCAGCAAAACACAAAGCAGAAAAATAAAAATGAAAGGTAAAAAAAGTTAGTTTATAAACATTTCTCCAATATTGCCTTTTAACATATGCCATAATTACTTACTGTGAAACATTTTTTGCAGTAAATTAAAGGCGTCCAACATATTCAAATTTATTTTAAAGTTTTAACGTACAACTACACAATAGTGTACTTAAAGATTCCACAGTCCTTTATTTGCTTTTCTTTTTCCTTTTTTTTGGGGGGGGGGAGAAGAGGGGGAATCACAGTGAGATTTTCATCAACTGCACCAGGCCAACAACTTATAGGAGCATTACAGGAATAAGAGTTCTGCACGGAGGGTACATTCCTTTCAGCAGACGAACCATTTAAGAAAAGAGCTCATTTATTCATTTTTTGCTGAATATGCAAAAGAAATTCATAATACGATAATGCAGATTCTGTTCTGTCTTCTATCATATTTTGTAAGAAACTTGGTTTCCACGGACTCTCATCCCTAAAATATAAACAGAAGTCCATTATAAGTACATGCTTATATACTTTATTCCTTTTAAAACTATTCATCATAGTAACTCACTAGTAATGATCATATTTAGTTAACATTTATTGTATGCATAGAATAAATATGCAATATTTACATTAAAAGAACTTTGTATATTTTAAACAGTTTAAATAGCTAACAATCCTGCAAATAAGTATTAACGATTTCATAATTCCATTTGTATCATCTTCAATACCCTATTCTTTTATTCCTTTCCATGGTGTTACTTAATACTTTTGGCTAGTAGTTTTGTTTTTGCACTGAATATGCTTTCTGTCTCTGCAAAGAAGTGTCTTGTTGTACCAAACATGAACTGAAGGAAGTTTGCAACTTAAGGTACTTACATGCATGCAATTGTTAGTGTTCAGAATCGTGCAAATTTTTGTTCAATCTACCAATCAAATTTCACAAGCATTCTACTTACCTTAGAATATATAATATAGGAAAGAAAGGCCTTTGCTCCCTTAGCCAGAAAATAAAAGCAAGCACTCTAGACGATTCAGCTGTGTTCAATTCTGGAAGTTGTGTCTGTCAAAAACAAAAATGGGAGTAATAATGGAGCAAAAAACATTATAAAATATATTGTGCAGTCAGAATACTGTACATCATGGACTGATTCTAAGCTAATTCTGCAAAAGTACACTCTTTTTTCTCTTTCAGAATACAACAAAGTAAATCTTTTTTCTGGTGTTTTTCGGGAGACAGAACTGGAAGAACAGTTAAGCAAATTTAAGATAAAGTAGTCCTCAACTATGATTATTTGTTCCTTGACCAATCAAAGTTACAGTGACACCAGATAAGGGGAATTTAATGGCAGGTTCTTGGAGTTCTGACTGTTACAACTCCCACAGACAAAGGATCACAATTTACAACATTCCTTACTGGTTTCCCGCAAGCAAAGTTAATGGGAAAGTCAGAAGTCACAGTCAGGCAAGGTCTTTGCTTAATGACAGCATCTTGGACTGCCAGAATTGCCATTGCTAAAGGTGATGTGATCACAAGATGTCACACTTTATGATTGCATTGCTTAGCCACAGTAACTATGGTCCCAATTGCTGTCATAAGCCGAGGTCTATCTGCATACAAAACCTTAATGTATTACATTAAGTAGGAAAGGAATTTCTATTAAAGCAGAAAGTCTGTTCATTCTGAATATGATATTAGGCACAAACAAAATGAGAACGGAATTTCAGGTATTTTTATGTACATAAGATGGCAAATACCCCTTCATGGATTACTGCCTTGTTGTGGCGAAGGGACTTGCACAGCTCAATGAAGCTATGAGCTATGCCATGCAGGGCCATCCAAGATGAAATATACAGTAGAGGTAACAAATAGATTTAAGGGATTAGATCTGATAGACAGAGTGCCTGAAGAACTATGGATGGAGGTTCGGAACATTGTACAAGAGATAGCAACTAAACCATCCCAAAGAAAAAAAAATGCAAGAAAGCAAAATGGCTGAGGAAGCTTTGCAAATAGCTGAGGAAAGAAGGGAAGTGAAAGGCAAGGCAGAAAGAGAAAGATACACCCAATTGAATGCAGAATTCCAGAGAATAGCTAGAAGAGATAAGAATACCTTCTTAAATGAACAGTGCAAAGAAATAGAAGAAAACAATAGAATAGGAAGGACCAGAGATCTCTTCAAGAAAATTGGAGATATGAAGGGAACTTTTCATGCAAAGATGGACATGATAAAGGACCAAAATGGCAGGGACCTACAGAGGAAGAAGAGGTTAAGAACAGGTGGCAAAATTACACAGAAGAACTATACAAGAATGAGTTTAATGTCCCTGATAACCACGATGGAGTGGTCACTGACCTCAAGCCAGACATCTTAGAATGTGAAATCAAATGGGCCTTAGGAAATCTGAGCAACAACAAAGCTAGTGGAGGTGACATTATTCTAGCTGAGCTATTCAAAATCTTAAAAGTCGATGCAGTAAAAGTGCTACACTCAATTTGCCAGCAAATTTGGAAAACTCAACAGTGGCCACAGGATTGGAAAAGTTCAGTTTACATTCCAATTCTAAAGAAAGGCAATGCCAAAGAATGTTCAAACTATCACACCATTGCACTCATTTCACATGCTAGTAAAGTTATGCTTAAAATCCTACAAGCTGGGCTTTAGCAGTATGTGGATTGAGAACTACCAGAAGTACAGGCAGGATTTCCAAGAGGCAAAGGAACTAGAGATCAAATTGCCAATCAAATTGCTGGATCATGGAAAAAGCTAGGGAGTTCCAGAAAAATATCTTCTGTTTCACTGACTATGCTAAAGCCTTTGAGTGTGTGGATCACAACAAATTGTTGCAAGTTCTTAAAGAGATGGAAGTACCAGACCATCTTATTTGTCTCTTGAGAAATCTATATGCGGGTCAAGAAGCAACAATCAGAACCGGACATGAACCACTGATTGATTCAAAATTGGGAAAGGAGTCCGGCAAGGCTGTAAACTGTCACCGTGCCTATTTAACTTATATGCAGAGCACATCATGAGAAAGGCGGGGCTATAGATGAATCAAAAGTTGGAATTAAGATTGCCGGGAGAAATATCAACAACCTCAGATATGCAGATGATAACACTCTAATGGCAGAAAGCGAAGAGGAACTAACAAGCTTCTTGATGCTGGTGAAGAAGGAGAGTGCAAAAGTTGGGTTGAAACTCAATATTAAGAAAACTAAGATCCAGCCCTCTCAATTCCTGGCAAATAGATGGGGAAGAAATGGAGGTAGTGACAAATTTTATTTTCCTGAGCTCCAAGATCACTGCAGATGGGGACTGCAGCCAAAAAATTAAAAGACGCTTACTCCTGGGGAGGAAAGCTATAGCAAATCTAGACAGCATTCTAAAAAGCAGAGACATCACCCTGCCAACAAAAGTGTGTATAGTCAAGGCTATGGTTTTCCCAGTTGCAATGTATGGCTGTGAAAGTTGGACCATAAGAAAGGCTGAGCGTCAAAAAATTGAGGTCTTTGAACTATGGTGCTGAAGAAGACTCCTGCAAGTTCCTTGGACTGCAAGGCGATCAAACCGGTCAGTCCTAAAGGAGATCAACCCTGACTGCTCTTTAGAAGGCCAGATCCTGAAGATGAACTCAAATACTTTGGCCACCTAATGAGAAGGAAGGACTCACTGGAGAAGAGCCTAATGTTGGGAAAGATTGAGGGCAAAAGAAGAATGGGACAACAGAGAATGAGGTGGCTAGATGGAGTCACCGAAGCAGTAGGCGTGAGCTTAAATGGACTCTAGAGGATGGTAGAGGACAGGAAGGCCTGGAGGAACACTGTCCATGGGGTCGTGATGGTTCGGACACGACTTCACAACTAACAACAACATGGCAAATGGGATGTTGCAATAGACAGAAGCATATAGTGCACAAACTGTTTATTTAATGATAACATTTTTGGAAAATTGACTTTAGTTCTTTTAAATTATAAGGTGCAAACTCAGGCATTCATAAGGTATCTAAAAGCCAGAATCACAAAAGCTCTCTGTAGGTCTATTTCAATAAATACTTCAGTTTGCACAACTGGTACTTTGTTGGCCACACCTTATTCCTTTTGGGTAGTTGTAAGGAGCCACATTACCTCAAGGAATTGAAGTAGGTAACATGATCCTCACTGATACTTCATCTTAAATTTCTTTAGTCAAGTTCAGGTCTCGGCAACTATATCCCTGTTGTTTTCTTGGCAGCAATATAGTATGGAAATGGTTTGTTCTAGCCTTTTGACTTTTTTAAAAAAACTTTGTCTACTCTACAATCTATTCTTAGAATTTCATGGTGATCTCCCACTCAGCTACATACTGGATCTGACCCTATTTAGCATTTTCAAGACCAGGTTGACTAGATGCTGCCATCTGCTGTAAAGGTATTGTCCTACAACTCTGTAAATTCTTAGCCATTATCATATTGGCTGGGCTTGATGAAAGTTATAGTCTATGAAGGATTCAGGCTGTCTATCCTTGCTTACCGTGTTATGTTCTTACCATATTGTGTGGTATTGATGCATAGTTTGGGGCTCCAAGTACTTGGCTTATAAAGTTCTGTCCACAATTCTTTCCAACCCATAAAAACATGACCTGTATATTGAAACACAGGAATTAGTAAATAATGTATGCATTAAAACTTTACCTCAGACCAGGCTAATAAAGTACTGCTATGAAGGTTTATTTATGGAGCATGAGATGACTCCTGCTGATTGTAGTATATATAAAATCCTACTTACAGAGCCAGCATCCATAAGAAAAGCACCATCCTGGTTTAGCTTTTCTACAGAGAGCTGAAGAATGGGTGGCTGAGGTACTGTTCTGTCACCAATGTTGAGGGCTCCCTAAATAGATAAAATGATTTCTAACAGGCAAATAAAACAGTAGATCTTATGTATTATAAACATAGGCTACCATATCCTGACTGATATCAAGTCTAAAACATACATCATTATATGCATATATCTATAACATAAAGAAAATAATTGTTAATGTTTCCAGATAGAGTGGTTTGCAAATTGCACACAATTTCTGTTCCTTGCACTATGAAAGGTGTTTACATTTGCAGGCACCAATTAAAGTTGTTCTTGAAAGAAATTTAATAATGTTTCATTTGCATATAAATTATATTGTTCCATTTGTTAAAATGCAGGAATGCGTACCATTTAAATTTAATTCTTTCATATCTATTTGTAATATCAGATATTCTACTTTCATATATTCAATTTTAATGTCCTTTGCAATTTACCCATCATAATTTAATATCTCCATTCATTTAAACACACATTAAAACACTGAATTTGATGGCTAAATAATTTGTATATCAAGCACAAAATTAGACAACTACATACAAAAATAGAAACAGCTTATAAAATTTCTGGTACATGCCAACTAATTCATAAATGTCACAATTTATACTATAACTTAGTATAAAAGCTGTTATATTTATATCTACTCTCCAAGTCTGTCATAATTGCTACCTTCATAATTAATGCCTTCATCTATCATGTCAAATACTGGTCCCTATTTGCAATGTTCTTGTCAATACTCACATAACTAAATCACACTCAAGGCTTAGGTAGGGAAAAGGGAAAAGTTTTCCTTTTTCCAAACTTCCAAGACTTGAGGTCTGGAAAAAGGAAGACTGATACAGAATATTGAAGAAAACTCCCTGAATCTTAAAGCATAATAAAAGCATGGAAATGCATGCCTTTATTATAAAATATGCACAAAAGTCAAATATTGTAGTACAATTTTGTATAATATCTGAGATTAGGAAGATACATCCAATAATTTCCAGACAAATTTAGATGAAGAACTTACCTCATCTGTGAGATTGTCAATTCTATACAAATTGGGATGCATAATAAGCATGAGGTACACTAATGGCTGGCTTTTCACTTGACACATTGTAAAGATGCGTTCATCTAAACGGGTATTTGTTTTACTTTGGAATGCTTTCTGTAAGCAAAAGTAGCAGCAGAAAAACAAGAGAACTTAGAGTTATGCACATGTCAAGATCATCAATTTCAACCATACAATTTTTTTACTTCATTCATACAAGGAAGTCTGGAAACTTATTCTCAATATAGAATAGTTTTTCTAAATTTGTTACTGCATATAAATATCTGGAAAAAATAATTAACTATAATACTATACACAGTTATCATCAATTTTAACAAAATTTACTTAGCAAACTTCTATTTCTAAGGCAATTTCTGTTTTTATTTTTACCTGTTTTAAGAGAGCCAGGATAAACAATGGAAACAGACGTAATGATGCAGGAGTCATAAGACCTGGTTGCTGAATGGTTAGGACAGATGAGCGGTATGCAGAAAGAGAATCTATTACAGCATTCACCAATGCATCTCGAGCATCACTCAAACTAGCAGAAATTGACCGATCAACAGCTGAAAAAGAACAGAACATAGTCCACTTGAATGTCAAAAAGACAATCGCAATAAAAAGCATTAACAATGGATATTAAAGACTCACTCACTCACGCAATCTCTCACACAGATATCCAATTTACCAAAAAGAATACAAAGCAACACTGCATGGTATCTATATCTCTTTATGCTGTGACATAGTTGCCAAGCTTTTTAGATACATTTTGTAAAGCACTTTTATACATTATAAAACAATCTCAACCAAAACATTCATTACTACCAATCTTTAAACTTTGTAGAATGACAGTATCAATGAATCAAAAAATATTGTGCAATTCAATCCAACAATTCAGCACATACCCATATTGGCTAAAAGGCCTGTAATAGCTTGTACATCAGCTCCTAAATAAACATCACTCAATTGGCTTACAACTGGTAAACACAGTGTGTGGACACGTATTCTTCTTTCACCTGTTAAAAAAGTAGTTTTTAATAGCATTTAAAATAAATCCAGCATATGCTTCAAAAACTACGATACATTAATTCTATTGCGGACATGGAGTGAAGTTCATTATTCAAAATCATTCGTCTTACAAATTTAAACAGAGGCTATTTTCTAACCAAATTTGTGTAAAAGACATGTTACTTTCCACTTTTTTCAAACCCAAAGTGCCATTTAACAATGAAAGTCATGAGTATTTGCCAATAACCTATGAAGATCTTAATCATGAAAACTGCAAAAGTCTAAAGACTTTAATAATAACCATTTTGTGTTATTAAAAGCATGGAGGGTATGACCTTGAAATGGATACCGGATGCCTCAGGCTGCTTACCTTTACTAGATGTATACAGGAGGGCTGACTGAAAACAGACCACCTGCATATCTGTCAAGCTCTCCTCCACTGACATTTGGACAGCATATCCTGCATCAGGATTCACGTTTGGCAGAGACAATAGATCAGTTGACCGTACAAAGAAGTTGCCATGGAAAGTGTGAATTGAAAGGCCTGTGAAAAGAATTATAGTGTTTAAAATATTATAATTAAGTTTAAAATTACTAGTATTCACTCTTCAATTTTTGACATATTAGGTTTAAGCATTGTCAATAAGTACTTCTATAAGGTGTCATGCTCAATTAAAAACATCAAAGCATAAGCAATGTGTGGGAAATTTCTGTATGGCAAACACACCCCATTGTCATAAAACTTTTGTAGTATTATTCTCAACGTAGTGAGGAACAGTATTTCTTTGTGGATGCAGAGAGGATTTTACCAACATAAAAAGGGCTATCTAAATGGAGCCAGTCTCTCTTGAACTGCTTAAGTTGATTAAAATATTCTTAAACAAGTTATGCAAATATACTAGCATTATCATTATAAGTCTCTTATGTTTTCAATAACTGAACTGAACCAAAATTAAAATATGTACTTTTTTTTTACAGTAAAGAAGAAATGTGGACTTATTTTGAATCGGGAAAACATTTGAAAACTGTGATTAAAATAAGTTTAAGTTTAGAAAAATCATCTCATTCATAAATACAAAGCAAGCCCATTCATGCGTTCAGATCATTTTGCATTGCTTGTTGATTCAAGATGTCCTCTTCACCCCCCCCCCCCCCCCCAAAATCTATCCTTTTACCAAAAAAGAACATTCAAGGCATAAATTTACCTTTGGATTTACAATGCAGTTTAAAAATCTTCCTAGACATACCAATCTGCTATGATAGGCAGACCAGATTCCCCAAAGACCTGAACCAATTTATTTAATATAGCAAGGAGAGGGAGAGGGAGGGAGGGAGAGGGAGAGGGAGAGAGAGAGAGAGAAAGAAAGACAGAGAGAGAGAGCTGCTTCTACTGTAACCATCCAATATATATAAAAGACCTTGCCCCTGGGGAACAAGATGCCATGTTTCCATGATCTTTGATATTAACAATCTCAGATAATTTACACAAGTGGAAATAGCCTTCACTGATTATACAATAGGTTTATAATATTCTGTGACAACTCTTTCATAAAAGCTCATACATTCAAGACTATACTATACAGAAAGTATAGTAACTTAAGCAGTGCTGAGTATCAAACATCATTTGCCAGAATTCCAAATTCAGGGTACTTAGAATTTCAATTTTTTACGTGCACCCTTTCACTTATTTAAGCAATTATGACAATGCTTCGATTAAAACTGGCAGACTAAGTGTCTGACCTTTGGTACATCTTATCCTCATGACAGCTTCAAAGCCAATCTTCCTAGTTAAATATCGCTTTAGTTCTTTTTGTAATTTCTCCACCAGAAGAGGATTGTGTTGATGATGGTAAGCTTGATAATAATAGACACTACCAGCAGAATACCTTGATATACATCCTAGAAAAAAGGTAAATTTATTTCGTTTTTGGACTTAAAGTAATATAATATTAAAAAATAGAAGTTTTACAGTAAGAAAAAGAAACATGCACATTTTTTTTCAAGCACTAGTTTCACTACTGAAATGGAATACCGTATTTTCCGGCGTATAAGACGACTTTTTAACACATGAAAATCTTCTCAAAAGTCGGGGGTCGTCTTATACGCCGGGTGTAGCTCTCCTGTAACCAGGCAGACCAGCCCGAAAGGCTCTGACAAGCCTTAAATGGCTCTGGCGATCCCAGCTCTGGCGACCCCAGCTCTGACAATCCCAGCTGAGTTCCCTGCAACTCAGCTGGGATCGCCAGAAACCACGTAAAAGGGAAAAAGTTTTTTACCTTTTACTCTGACGATCCCAGCTCTGACGATCCCAGCTGAGTTCCCTGCAACTCAGCTGGGATCGCCAGAAACCACGTAAAAGGGAAAAAGTTTTTTCCCTTTTACTCTGAGGATCCCAGCTCTGACGATCCCAGCTGAGTTCCCTGCAACTCAGTTGGGATCGCCAGAAACCACGTAAAAGGGAAAAAGTTTTTTCCCTTTTACTCTGAGGATCCCAGCTCTGACGATCCCAGCTGAGTTCCCTGCAACTCAG